AAGTAATTTAACCTAAATACAAAGAGACTATATATAAGCTAAATAAGTCAGGAAAAGTAAAGGACTATTCTACCCTTAATAAACAAAATAACCCTATATTTCTTAACATCTTCCCTCAAACTCATGATGCAGCAGCGACAAACATTGAGAGTTTGCCAACTAGAAAATGAAAACGAGAAATAGAATGCGACTTGATAAAGAAATCTGTAATCTACTAAGAAGAAGAAACAAAGGGCAAAGTAATGGTGCCATGCTTGAGATGATGACGAGTAAGATGAAAATCAATCTCAATGTGCTTAGTTCGTTCATGAAAAGTCGAGTTGTGAGCAATTTGAATAGAACTCCGGTTGTCACAATACATAGGATTGGGATGAGAAAGAGAAACTCTCATATCTGCAAGTAACCAATGTAACCAAATAATCTCTTTGGTAGTAGATGTCATAGCACGATATTCTGCTTCAGTTGAAGATTGAGAAACGATAGATTGTTTCTTACTCTTCCAAGAAATAAGAGAATCACCCTAAAAGATACAAAAACCAGTAATAGATTTGTGATCTGTGGGATCACTGCCATGATCAGCATTAGAGTATGCACACAGCTCCAAGGAAGAGGTGGATGGAAGTAAAAGGCTCTGAAAAATTGTACCCCGAAGATACCTCAAAATACGAAGAATCGATGCCCAATGAACTGTAGTAGGAGAAGCAACAAATTGACTAACAACATGAACAACATATGCAATATTTGGACGAGTAATATTGAGATATACCAAGCTCCCAACAATAGTACGGTATAAAGTGGGATCTGACAAACGTAAACCATCAGAAGAGGAATACTTTGCATTAACCTCAATGGAAGTATCTACAGTCTTATTATCAGTAAGTCTTGCTCACTCAAGAATATCTACAACATATTTCGATTGAGAAAGAAGATAACCTCTGGGTGAGCAGGCTACCTCAATACCCAAGAAATATCGTAGAGAACTCAAATCCTTCATTTCAAACTGTCTAGCTAACTCTGTCTTCAAAACTGAAATACCATTAATATCATCACCAGTAATAATTATGTCATCAACATATAAAGACAGAATGATACGACCTGCATCAGTGCACTTAACAAAAGAGCAGAATCATGACTACTAGAAGTAAACCCAAAGGAAGAGATCACAACAGAAAATTTTTCAAACCAAGCACGAGGTGCTTGTTTGAGACCATATAACGCTTTCTTGAGCTTGCAAATATACCCAGAATCATGTGAAACACCAGGGAGGGGAGCCATATGAACTTCTTCTTGAAGATCCCTATTCAAGAAGGCATTTTTAACATCAAGTTGAGAGATATGCCACTGACGAACCGAAACAACTGCAATAAGAGTACGAATAGTAGTCATTTTTACAACAGGAGCAAATTTCTCCTCATAATCCATACCATACTGTTGAGAGTACCTTTTTGTAACCAACCTAGCTTTGTATCGCTCAACAGATCCATCAAAATTGGTCTTAATTTTATACACCCACCGACAACCAACAACACTCTTATGAGGAGGTAGAGGAACCAAATCTCAAGTGTCTGTCTTATGCAAAGTAGAAAGTTCCTTATCCATAGCTTGCTGTCAAAGAGGGTCAAGAATTGCCTCTTTATAGGAAGAGGGCTTAGAAAGACAATGAATAGAAGCTAAAAAGGAAGTAAAAGATGAAGAATAACAATAATAAGTAAAATCTGGTAACTTTGTGGACTTACGAATGCGAGTGAATTGACGTAGAGGTGGATCCACAATCTCAGACGAAGGTTGAGGGACCATAGGAGAGGAGGTAGCTTCAGGTGTGCTAGAGAGTAAAGTGTCAGTACCTATAGAATGATCAGTGTTGCTCTTTGAAGTATTAGAAACCTGAGATGACAAATTATCAGAATCCTCAGAAAAAGGATCTATACGAATAAGATCAGATCTAGTCAAGCTATAAGTAGTGGATGAAATAGAAAAAAAAGGTATATGCTCAAGAAAAACAACATGACGAGACACATAAAGTTTATGAGTTATTGGATCAAAACAACGATACCCCTTTTTACCTTCACCATATCCAAGAAAGACACAAATAGTAGATCAAGAAGACAGCTTGTTGCGTTCAACATGAGGACGAAGAACGAAACAAGTACAACCAAAAACTCTAAATGAAGAATAATCAAGGGCATACTCATACAACTTTTCAAAAGGAGAAACACCTGAAATATGAGAAGATGGAATTGTATTAATCAAACCTACAACAGTAAGAACAACTTCACCCCAAAACTCACTAGGAACAGAAGAAGACAACAAGAGAGAACGAGCAGTTTCAACAATGTGCCTATGTTTTCTTTCAATAACACCATTTTGCTTAGGAGTATCTGTACACAAAGTTTGATGAATAGTTCTATCTAAGGCAAGCAACTTAACAAATTTATTAGAAGTGTATTCCCCACCCAAATCACACCTAAAACATTTGATAACAATAGAATGTTGAGTTTTGACAAGAGCTCGAAAGGCTGTATATATCTCGAAGAATTCAGAACGATGTTTCATTAAATAAATCCAACAATAACGAGTATGATCATCAATAAAAGAAACATAATATCGAGACCATCCTTTTGTGGCAACAGGAGAAGGTCCCCATACATCAGAATAAATCAAATCAAATGAAAAAGAAGAAATAGAAATACTTCGATTAAAAGGTAAAGCTGAAAATTTTGGCAGTTTACATCCACTACAATCAAAAATATCACAAGTTTTTAAATTTCCTAAAGCCCCTATGGATGCCAAAAATCTCAAACGAGAAGACGAAACATGACCTAAACGAGAATGCCATAAATAAAAACTAGAAGAAGAAGGACTCAAACGAAAAGAAGATAAATCAACACTAGTAGCAGCAGCATCAACTGACACTTTTAACTCATCCAAAATATATAGTCCCCCCTTCCTACGGCCTATCCCAATCAGCTTCTGAGACTGCAGATCCTGCACATAACAAGAAGAAGAGGAAAATGTGACTAAATTTTCAGAATCACATAACTGACCAACAGAAGCAAGATTTAATGTGAGTTTTGGAATATGATAAACATTAGGGAGAGACAAGTGAGGTGTGACAACAGAACCAACACCTGCTAAAGGCATAGGAGTGCCATCAGCAGTCATAACAGGAATAGAAGATGAAGGAGATACAGAAGCAAAAGATGAAGAATCTGGAGACATATGATGTCAGACACCAGAATCCAAGACCCATACAGAATGTGACACACCTGGAGAACTATAAGGCAACTGACCTCCTGAAGAAGAAGCAGACATAGCTTGTGGCTGTAAGGAGAGAAACTTCTAAAATTGCTCAACCAAGGTACTGGAATCGGTGAAAGGACCTGATGAAACTACTGCTGTAGTATTAGATTGTGGTGGTTTGTAACCCTAAGGTGGTCTAGGAGCATTAGATTGTGACTGGTTGCCAGACTTCCAAGCTTGAGAATGCTGCTACGATTGATTCTGCTATCTTAACTTAGGACATTGAGCCTTCCAATGACCTTTCTGCTTACAAAAATTGCACTCATCGAAGGCAGGCCTTGTGTAAGGCTTATTCTGATTATGAAAGAATAGTTTAGAAGGTACTGCTAGCATAGAATGATCAGAAGTAGAAATAATTCCCTTGTCAGAATAAGACTTAAGACTTATCTCTTCAGCAAATAACTCACTGACAACTGAGTCAACGGAAGGAAGTGGTGAACGATGCAAAATTGAACCTCTAAGTCCTTCAAAATTACTACGAAGTGCCATTAAAAATTGTACCAACCGTTGTTGCTCTCTACGAGCAATATAGGCACCACATGCCTTTAATTCAGTTGATTCTGTAAGAGCCAATTGATCCCAAAGATCTGTCATAGCAGAATAAAACTCCTGAATACTCATATTCTTCTGCTGAAGAGCTCGTATGTCATGCTCCAATTGATACTGTTTTGCAAAATTTGATTGAGTGAATAACATTTGCAGATGATCTCAGACCTCCTTTGATGTCTCATACTTTGCCAACTGCGTACCTATAGAATGCTCAACAGAATTGTTGATCCAAGTAATAATTTTTGCATTATTTGCTTCCCAGACATCTATCAAATTAGCATAACCCGCATCAATATTCTTAGGTTTCACAGAAGTTCCACTAACATATCCCCATAGCTTTTTACCCTTAAGAAAATTTCTCATCACGTAACTCCAATACGAAGAATTCTTTCCATCCAACCTCACACTCACAGACTAAAGCGAATCGTTTCTTGCAGTAGCCATAATCAACAAACAAAGAAAACCAGATTGTAAAAAATGAAACAAATACCATATTACAAAAACGGAACAAATACCAGATTGTTTAAACAGAATAAATATCTTTTCAAACTTTGCTCTGATAAACTGTGTAAACTGGATCCGCGTAAACTGGATCCGCGAAAGTTGGATTCGCGTAAATTGTGTTTGAGATTAAGCCTTGTCCCATGAAACTTTGCTCTGATACCATTTTGAACAATCTAAAGAAATACAAGAGATAAGAAAAGAAGAGGCTAGAGTTTTATTGATACTGCATAATTCAATTGAAATACAAGGAAGTAATTTAACCTAAATACAAAAAGATTATATATAAGCTAAACAAGGCAGGGAAAATAAAGGACTATTATACCCTTAATAAACAAAATAACCCTATATTTCTTAACAATGTCCACTACAAAAATATGTGGAGAAAAATGGGATCACTAAATCAAAGTTCACTAGCATTGGGAGGGAGAATACCCTGCTAACTCCCATTTATAGCCATTGAAAACTTTGGACAAGTAATGCAAGCTTTAATTGCAATTCACAATTAACTGGGCACAAAAGAAATGATTTTCGAACATGCATTATAAATTAAATTCAAAAATGATTTATTCAACCATGCTGCGTTCATAAAAAGACAAAAAAGTTTAACAAACGAGCCATATAACAGCTCAACAGCACTCACATTATACATATAAACTTCAAGTCTTTTGAAAAATCATAACAATAACCATTACAAAGATTTAAAAGATATGACATTGGGGAAATACAATAGTTTGCAACCGCATTTGATTAACTCATAGTTCGATGATAGATAGTCCGCTAATGAAGAAGGTGGAGATGGTGTTTCTTTGGCTTGTCAAAGATGCCAGTTACATAGGTACGGTAGATCATCTCAAGGAGGAGTGGAAATTGCAGCATTGTAAAAAGAGCTATCGGAATAATGGAAAAAACTATAATCGGAATGGAAACCCAACTCAACTGTTGATGGAGTATCAAATACAGAGACGCCCCGAAGGATACCATCATGGTCACAATGGAGAAGAAGAGGCATGAAAGGCCAAAGATAAGTTTTGTGGGCAAGGACTTGAGGAAATCTTCTTCTGCATAACGCGCTGTGAGAATTCCTAAAAACATAAGCACTGAGGTTGAAGAAGTGAACATTGATAAGGCATTTGAAACCATGAAAACCAAGAATGCCCGAGGCTGGGTTTCCGCCATGATAGGCAGGCCATTTTTGTTGTTGTTACCACCCGGAACTGTAAAGGCTGTTGTGAACATCACCGCGGCAATGAGAGTGCCTACAATCATGCTTGATCCTGCAGTGTTCTTCATCCATCTTTCCCCTTCTTTTGCCAACTCCTGGTGTTCATCAGTGAACAAAGTGCCCGGTGTTTTGTTATTTTCATTCACTTCCTCTTTCAATTTGGGTTGTACCATGCTTTCCACCTCCTATATTGAAGAGGTAGTTAAGAATCTTATGTTCATGTCAAAAAAGGGAAAATAAATGTTTTTGATCAAATTACGCTTACATCTCCTTAACTATACCCCTCGTTATACATTACCACTTAAACTATCCACTTTTTCACATTCCAACTGGAATGATTGGTTTGAGTTTTGCATTACCCCAATTGTGGACTTGTCTCCAATTTTTCGCAACAAATCAAGGAAGGGGGGAAGGGGGAGCAGAAGCAGAATCTAAGAAATGAATGTGGTTACCTTAAACCATTGTAGTTCTCTTTGCATCTGCATAGCTGCCCCAGAAACGCGCTCGAGTTGAGTAGGAGGAGATAATTTTGCAGCCAGATGCAAGAAGTTGTTACCAAACACATCATGCCGACGGGCCATTATACTCTTCTTTGTTCCCAGTCTGTAAATCAGGCTGAAAATCTTCTCTTGGCGAAGAACAATAGCATTGGAAAAAATTGTTCTTCCTTTATTATCTTTTCGCCATATGATTTCGGGATTGTACTTGAGTATTTCATCAACAAATTCAATGATCCCATGCTTGATGGCATCATATATTGCTTTATCTATTTCCATGCTTTCAAGTTGTGACTTTTTTAGTTTTGGTAACTCCTTAAAAATGACACTCAGGAGTTTAACAGCTTCAACATGTACCAGTTTTCTGTCATGTATATGCTTGATGTCTGGGACTGTGATTTAAAACAACAAAAAAAAAAAAATAAGTCAATACTATTCAATGTATCTATTTAACATTTTATTAATTAGAGAGAAAATATTAGGAGATGATAATTACCGACGCATCTTAAAATTCTCCAACCCAAACCATGCAATAGCCACAGTACTGCAAAACTCAATATGAGAATGATCGAGTGAGATTTTCCAGCCTTTATCATGAGCATGTAAAATAAGTAATCAGAAGCATAAATTCATGACAATGAGTCTTGGCGCGTTGGGTTTGTGTCTTCGTCCGATAGTAAATTAGTGTCGTATCGAAATCTTCTCATCATCGACAAGCCAACTTTAATGAATAGTCAGGTTTGTATTAACTATAGTTAGCTTTGCGAGTTTTGCAAAATTGAGTTTATGTCAACTCATTTATTGTGAAAGAATGTATATCCAATTAACTCGCTTATGACCCTAATATATATGGAATAAACAAAACTTTATGTTGATTTTGTATTTGATTAGCATATCATGTTAGGTATTGCTAGCTCTAATCGATCGTAACATGTCTAATATCAGTAGTACAATAGCGGAAGCAACTTTTGTGATTACTGCTGAATTTCAGCCTAAGAATCCTTAAGTAATTACACCCATAAATGAATATCTTATCAATATGAAAAAAAGAATTATCCCATTAATCTTCTATCTAATATTACAGCCAACAATTTAAATTGCACATATATAAAAACACAGCAATATTGGTTGAGATTAATCCAATCTTCTTGTAATTTTATCTAACTGTACAAAATTCATTCCAAAAAAAAAAAAAAAAAATCCGTCTAAGAAAGTTATCTTCTGTACACGGCTCCTAATGTCAAACAACCAAATCAACACAGTCTTCAATATCAAACAACCCTACTAAATCACGGCTACTTCTCTTCTATCTCCCCAAACTCGTGCTCATTTTCTCTATATCTATTTTAATTTTGAATTACATAAATAAAAAAAATTATTATTTAAAATATAAACACTTCACAATTAATACTCGATTATTGGTCTTACAGAATGTCTGAATAAGTCAAAATATGTCACAGGCTTATTGTTAGTATCTAAATATGGTGAATTTACTACCTCATGGTTATTGTTATGTTTTTTTTTTGTTGGGGTGGGGGGGGGGGGAGGAGAGAGAGAGAGAGAGAGTCAACAAACTTGCCTTCGTTGACTATAGTTCCTCCGACAGTGGGACTTTTGTGCGGCATTCCGTCGAGCTCTTCATCACTAGAATCGTGAATTTCGATGCTCCTTTCATCACTGCTCAGTCCTTGAATTTTATTGCTCTCTACATCAACCGATCCATGGTGGTGCCACCTTTGACCATCCCATGGTGAATGCACGGTTACCCCTGCAGTGGGAATATATATTCAAATGAAATGATTGCATTTCTCACTTCTAAAAAAGATTAATTCGATTTCATGGATGAACCCATCATCACAATATGATGCCCCTACTCCCGCAAGCCTTGGTGTAGTTAGGAAACAGAAACTAATAATCATTTCCTTTTCTTCTCTTAAGTTTTAAGTGAGAATCCAAAAGTATCCAAAAAAAAAAAATTACTATCCCCCGAAAATTATAACTTGGTCCCCAAAAAATTAGGATTCAGATCTCCTCTAATATATTTTTTCTTCAATTTTCTTCTTGATGGATCATCAACCATTAATGAGTGAGGGATCCCAATTTATACAATAGGTCTCATTTAAATGTATGTTAGGTGATTCATTATTCAAGAAAAAATATATTGACGATCGGTATAAGACTTCTAACAGATTTTGTACACATTTTTACCCATAAGAGTATAGATCATATCTATAACTCGAATCGTAGTGCTCACGCTGTAGTGGGATAATCTTATTATTGCCCTAGAGCCCATTCTCTACATAATTGTCAATATTAAAACACAAGGTTCAAGCAACTTAGCATTGGCGGCAAAACTATGTTTGAAAGGTGAAGGAGGGAATGGGGTGCAGCGTGTAAATATCTGAAATTGTAGAAGTACCAGAGTGAAATTAACTCCATCATTATGACCATATGCCAACTCTTTTGCTTAGATTCATGGGAAAATTATATTTTCACTCCCTCAATTATGACCCTAGTCTCACTTTTGCCCCTTTTACTATTGAGTTTCTAATTGCTCACTCAACTACTTTAAATTGGTTTTGCACTGCCTCCAAATTAAACCCGTCATGTTTTTGGACATAAAACATCCATTTGTGTAGTAAAATACACATTTTCAATATCCAATATTTAGGGCAATGTGAAACCAATAAACATTCTTGGAGGTGCAATGTGAGAACTAGGGTACTTGAGAGCAAGAACCATAGTCTAGGTGCAATTCGAGATAAGGGACGTATATGAGGGGGGTCAAACTGTAACTGTTTAAACAGTATGTATGCAGATAGGCTCATTCAAGAAGGATAGCATTAAATAGGGTACTCACATGAGTAGATCAATCCTTTCCAGCTTACATATTTACTTCCACTTGGGAAAGCAGAAGGCTTGTGAGCCAACATTCTGAGTGTGTAGTTCCCATAATGATCTCGGACCACGCCCAGATGTGGATACCGTTTCAGCAGCATTGAAGCAACATCTATAAGCAAACAACAAGAATTGGGAGAATTATGATATATAGATGCTAGGAGTTTTTCTACAAAAAAATAAAAAAGGTTTTTCTTTATTTTTTAGCCTATTTGTTAACATATAATTGAGATTAGTGTGTGTATGATGTGAGTTCTAAGTGGGCATAACACCAATTGGACTAGTTCCAGCAACAGATGCATCAAGAAGTACTGTGCAATCTTACCATAGATATCAGCAGTGATGAGACAATTGAGCAGTGTGGCACCATGTTCGCCTCTTTCGGGACTTAGCTCATCCTTGGGTGTCTTGGAATAGAGATACCGGACCATTCGCCTCCGGCCATACAAAGCAGCCACAATAACAGGGAGATTTCCATCATCATGATCATGTGCAACTCTAACCAACTTGTCATTCTTCCTCACCATTGCCTTGGCCAGCTTTGTTTCTCCACTGATGGCAGCAAGAGAGAGAGCAGTGGCCCCGAATTCGTTTGTCAATTCTAAGTCTTCTGGTTTCATCAACCTCACCAACTCCTCTGCTATCTTTGTGTGTCCACATAGAATTGCAACGTGAAGAGCTGTATCTTTGTGCGATGAAATTATTGCCCTAACCGCGTTTGGTTCACGCTGAAGGATGTGGTGCGTCTCCTTCCAATCGCCTTTTTCCACTGCCTTGTACAGTTCCTCATATTGATGATGTTCCGTCCCTGAAAATGTTTCTTTCTTTAAAATCGTGACAGTTATTACTATACTATACACACTAATGGCTACGACTCTTCATTCTAGAGTGCCCATCAATAGCACAAGGATGGATCTAGCGGAGGTAATCTCATATGAAGCAATGTGCCCATCATTCTAGAGTGCCCATCTATAGATTATGACTGAACTTTTGGTAATCTCATATTATAGATGTTCCAAACAGCTTAGAAAATGCTAATATTTGCAATGATTCTCACAGTCAGTCGAAATAATCATGCTAGCATCAAGGCAGCACCTAATTGAGATTGATCTGCAGTGAAAAATGCTGCGAAATATTGAGATTAATGTGAAAAAAGATGATTGACAAAAACTAATGCACCTAGATGACTCTTGGAAATGAAGAATTTTTTTTTTTTTTTTGCAGGTGGGAATGAAGCATGTTTACCTGTTGAAATGTGAAGTCAATTGTTTCTATGAACTTTCTTCAGCAAGTACAATACTATAATAGTCAATTACCACTGTCTACATCTACATTCCAGGGAAAAAAACAAGAAACAAGGATAAATTACACATTGGTCCACTCAAACTATGATATTGGTCTCATTTTGGCCTCTTAGCTATTGAATTTCTTACATTATCCTCTCAACTACTTGCATTGATTTTACACTGACTAAGTATTAAAAGTTAGTCATATTTTGGGTTGAAAATGTCAAAATATGTAGTAAAAATTGGCATTTCTAATGTTGAAAATTTGGTAATCTAAAACTAATACTCATAGGTGAAATTTGATAGCCAAGAGAGCAATATGATACCAATCATCATAATTCAAGGTATAATGTGAATGCAATGTGAGAAATGTGACGGGGAAGTTGCAATGTGAGATACAAATGCATAGTTGAGATAACGTAATTTTCCAATAGAAAAAAACAAAAGCATTACCATTGTGTTCCGAATGGCCTTCTTCTTCATGATCAGTCAGCACCATTGCCGCCGGCGGCCGGCGACGCTTTTCGGCCAAGTGGTGCCAAGCATAGTCTGCAGAAACATGAGCTTCCTTAAACTTAGAATATATGCCTGAACCGCATGATAGTTGAATGGCATGCAAAGCCAGTGCATTCTTCCTCTTCCATTCGTCATGCAACGGGGAATTTTTCGGGTTTTGGCTCTCTTCCTGAAACAACACCCCAAAGGCCATGGCCAACCAGATAGCTTTTCAAGCATCCTTTCCAGAACTCATAATTTTCTTCTGACAGTTCTTCAGGAACTATTCCAGACATTGCTCGGCTAGGCGTTGTCATGCCTAGTTTCAAAGCATAAAATGCAGGGATGATTGTTGGAATACAGACAGAAAAAAGGAAGGAATTCAGAATAATTCCCCGAGTGGCCACAAGATTGCGGCCAGTAGATGAAAAAGGGTGGCCTAGTGAACAAGGTTCCCACTACTGCAGACTCTAGGAAAGGTCACATGTATGCATTCTTACCTTATATACAAAGAGATTGTTTCTACAACTCGAACTCTTGATCCCAGACCACTGGATACTAGAAGATAATATATATGGTCATGCTAATATATGTGCAATTCTCACTAGATATGGTTCTGTTTAATGATGCCAAGTGATTCTGTTGTAGGAAAACGGGTGTGATATTCTAAAATGAACTTAACATTGCTCTGATTCTCGAGTTTTGCCTGATTTGTGTTCATATACACAAACTAATCACTCTGCATAGCTGTTATGATCTGTACCAAACAAGTTACATTTCTCATTGAACATTTTATGGACTTCTATATAACCATATATTGTTATAATGTAATCCACTTGAAGCAAAACATGCTAGAAGCTCAAATCCATCTATTCGATAACTACTATGTAAGCAAGGAAGTATACAGAATGTGCATCCACTTCAAGTAAAAGAAGAGAGAAAATAAGCAAGGCATCAGAGCATAGGGGAGCAGTAAAAGTGCCAGAGGCTTAAAAAACCTCCTTATAACAAAGGATTAAATTTTGTTTGTTCTCTATTGAAACAACCAAAAATACTAGAGTCATTTAAATTGTGAAACGAATTGGTGATTCAATATCAAACTTTCTAATTTTCATGTGTTTGGGGATGTTTCGACCATGTTTTGGAATGTTGCGGAAATAAATATTTTCCAAAATGTTTCCATTTCAAGCTTACCCAAAGTATGTACCAAAATAAAATTTGATCATCGGCTATAATCAAGGAATTATGCAGAGTGCATGCCCTTCCAGTAAAAGAATAGACCATAAAGGAATCACACTCTAGAGATAGATGAATGTTATTTAAGTAATTTAAGGATTCAAAGGTACTTACAGTGGGTTGAAGTTCATAAAAATCATCAGTGCAGGTGGCAGATTTATCTGAATGTAAAGAATGCTATATATACTAGACCAGGCTTTATTTATCAACCATTCAATAAGTCATTGGCAAAATCATTATAAATTTGAATGTTTCTGGAGATCTGAAATCAAATTAACTCAAAATGCTTAGTTTCTTCTTTCCTTCATTGCACTTGGATGTGCTTCCAGCACCAAAGACCAACCAACTTACGTCAACAAGCCCTTTTTTGAAACTGTTGACCTCAATCCT